AACAACAACAACAACATCAGCATTATTCTTACCTTGTCGAGTACGACCGAGATTATGGGACCTTATGGGAAGTTTGTCGTTGACTTTCATTCAAAATGGGAGGGTTTCGTTGGAGCGAAGGAAACAGAAAAGAGAGAAAGAGCGAGCCAGCGATAGCCGTTGAATGGATTCAAAATACGGAACCAATGTGAGACAAACGATAGATGGGACGTATTTGCTGACACATTGCTTGTTCTTCAGACATGATTCAATGGGGCGATGACTGCCTACATATGGGGAAAGTAAAGGTCTTTGCCATTTCCCCTCTTTATTGTATGTAGCTCATGTCTCTTCGTGCCTCTTCATGTCGTTCGACATGCCCTGCACGCTCTCAATTTGGAATCTGGAACTCAACCGATAACCCTCTCCCTCTTCTTCTTCTTTTTCCCTCCCCCGCGCTCATGCCTAACCCCCCCATAATCTCCCATGGAACTGTACCGGTACGGTAGGCAAAGCCAGCGTTCATGTTGATTGAATCATTCAGCCAGAAGCTTGTTTCCACTGGGAGGGCAAGCCGAGCAATCAATAAACTTCTGGTACGTACTAGTACCTATCATAGACAATTTGAAGGAGCTGAGATTCAGAAGTTGGCTTTGAAGTCTATTCCACTGGATAATGGTACCTTTTAAGGAGACCGCCCAGTGGCTAGCTAGTCCGGTAGCCCTGGCTGGTACTGCTTAGTGCTTGTGGATGTTTGCTGCGTTTGTGCGGACCGCCAGTCCATTCTCCGTGCCTCCAAAATGTGCGTGAGTGACGAGTGCCCAGAGCTGGCTATCTATTAGTAGCTGGCTATCTAGCTGACTATCTAGCTATCGGGCGGTAGATACTGATACCGCAGCCACAACCCGGATTTAGCTACTAGCTCTAGCTAGGTTAGCTAGCTAGTATTTCAATGACGCACGGCGGACGATTTTGTTGGCAAGGGAAATCCAACACCTCTCCTCTCTGTGCAAGGCTTTTTCCATCAGAACGCAAGCACTGAGATTGACACATTGACACGATGCTGACAGCACCTGCTGCCTGCTTTTGCAGCAATCCGAAGCCGACCATCACAATGCATGCGATCGGCTATCGATATCCAGCCAGAGTCCAGCTAGCTAGTCTAGCTAGGTTGCTTGACATCCTCTTCTTGCGGCCCCTCCAAGTGGCAGGCAAAACCAAGGAACAGATTCTGGACTGGGCGTGGCTGGATGCCCCGAAGCCTGCGCATGCTCATCTGGCAGCTATTCTCGGCCTTGGCAAAAGCAAGTGCAGGAGATGAGATGCAGCTGACAACCTGTGTCACGTGACACAGCTTGAGCTAACCAGTGCAATCGCATTGCTCGCAAAACTATCGTACTGGCTAGCTAGCTAGCTAGAGCTATTAGAAGCCACTCGCTGGCACCTATGATACTCTAGCGGTAGCAAAATTTCTTGCCAGCAACTCATGCTGTGGCTACAGTAGGGTTCTTTCTTGTCAGTCCATGATGGCAGGTCATCACAGCTGCTCAACTTGGCTGCGGTGAGCAGGGTGGCGACGGCTGCCATGGTTCGGTGTCGAGTCCTTGTGAGCTCTAGCTAGGTATTCTAGTTTGCTACCGTACGCTTGCCATGCCCAGGTGCTCGTAGCTGAATCCTCTACATACATGCCCCGTACTCTTTGTGGAATTGATACACTACTTCTGTTCTTATTACTGCTATCGTACTCGTGTGTTCTTGTTTAACATCTTCCCAAATTTGTCCAATTCAATTCGGCTGCGTCCGTTGTTCTGCCTAGCTAGCGTTTTGTAGTTCCTTCCATTTGCTCTTGGGCTTGCGCATGCCAGGGAGGCCAGTATACAACATCCAATAAACTTTGGCACAACAGAAGGCAAGAGAGAGAGAGTGTGTGGAGGCATCACGCCAACAAGAGAAAAACCAAAATTCTTGCTGCTGTCGACACTTCTCTCTCTCTCTCGCACTTTTTTCTTCATTTGGAGGAGGGGAGAGGGCGTCCAACCATAATACACCATTTTCATTCATATAAAACATTCATTTTTCAAAAATCCTCGAGGACACGCTGTTGTCATCTTGTGTGTTTGTCTTGTTGTTTCCTGCTCAACAACAACAACGTCCTTACTCATGCACTGGCTCCCCACGTTCTAGTCGTGGTTCTTCCGTGACCAAGTGTTGGCAATGGACGGGATGCACCAGTTCACCCGACAGGGAGCAAATGTACATGCCTTCGTCCTCCGTCACGTTCCTCCAGTTCCATCCTTCGGCGGCGAATTCTACCGTATTGCGTTCGGCATTCTCTTGGAGTTCATGACGATTACTCCAAATCCTCGATTTGATGCGGTCGCTGTATTCATACCGAGTTGGAATGGGAACCACCGACACGTCTTCGGCAAATCCAATGCGTGTCGTCTTCTTGTTGTTATTGTCAGTAACAGCAACTGCGGGTGGTGGTGGGGGTGGTGGTGGGGCGGTGGCGGCGACATCATTGAGTTTCTCCGTGGTAGGAACGGCTCCTCGCAACGGCGTGCGAGTGGCCGAACCATCTGGAGGCGAAATTTGCATCGTGTATCCTACGCCCATTCCACGTAGAATTCGTAGGCGCCGGTGCTGCGCGGCAGTCATTGGCTGTGTCGCGGCTGCTGCTGCTTGAGGAGGAGCATTGTGAATGCCCAATCGATTCAATAGACGAGACCGAATCTCACAGTCTTTCTTGGCATTCGCAGCAGCAGCAGCCGGTGATGAGAGCGACTTGGGTGGGGAGCTCATGATGGCTTGACTTGACTTGACTACCTACGATGAGGACAAGCAAGCGCAACACAACAAATAACTGTGCTTTGAGAAAAAGCGAAAATGGACCAAGCTGGCACAAGAGGTTGCTGCAGGTTTCGCGTAGCGGTTTACGTAGCCCGGGTAGGAAAACAAACTCACTGGGTTGATCGATCAAGACCAACAAGCGTGAGGTTGCGCAAACAACAACATGTTGAGACAACGTGCGTAAAAATGCTACCAGAGACGTGCGTAGGGCGTACGAACTCTTGCCTTCAAGGAAAAATATCCTTTGTGTGCGCCTGTCAAGCCTTTTCAAGAAATGACCCAAGGTGTTCACCGTAGGCTGTCAACGAGAGTGCAGCATTGGTCTAATTAGCAAGGAAGGTTCTTCCAATGACACTGGGAGTGCCGGCGTGCTACTTGAAGAAATCCTCCAAGAATATCTTGCAACAAAATCATGTTTTAGCGTTATTTGAAGTGCGATAAAGCAGACTCACCCATAGTTGTAGTGTATTGGTTAACGTGGGTTTGATAAAAGTTCTCAAAGACTGTCCAAAGAAGAGAAGTGGTGCAGCGCTCCAAACGAAGCATTTTTGAAAGGCTTTCCGGAGTGACGGTCGCTTATCTCCCCTGTTCTGGGGTATTCAAAGACGTCAGCGATTTACCCTGGTTCGAATTCAGTATCTTGCAAATAGTACCGCCTTCCTTCGCTTCCGCTGTGAACTTCTCCCAACCGTTTCGGAAGACCTGTCAAAAATAAATATCTTCTGATGTTTAGGGTGTTGGCTGCTTCGATTAGTGGCCACAGATTCTCAATAGCTTTCTCAATTCCAAAGGATCGGTGCCAAAACTTGAACGGCACGTACGTATCTGCTGACTGCAGTTTTCAGCTCAAGCAAGCCATCAATCAACCTCATCTGTCTCTCTTCTTTGGCTTCAGCATCATGCGTGTGATGGCAGATGGCAGCATCCACCCACCTGCTCCCATGCCGTCGAGTATCTTTTGTGGCATCCTTTTGTGAGTGAGCGAAAGACGAGTCCATGCCGAATAATGGAAGCCCCCCATCGGAGGATACCCCATGGCGCAAAGCCTTGACGCGATCTGTTGCGTCGGCTGGAACGTGGTTTGTCACGGAATATCCCAAATTGATTTTTCAGCGACAGCAAGGCCAAGCCCATCCCATACAATCCTCGATTCAAATCTACCGGCAAACTCCGTGGAACCATCATCTCCGAGGAGCTGTATCGTCGGCCGCGCAGCGGGGATCCTCGGCGTTCCTCATGTTTTATGGACAAGCCGCCATTTCCAACGCCATTTTTGGCACTACTACTAATAGCAGCTGGCTGTCGTCGGGATTGGCCGGGTTTCTAGGGGGTGGAGTATCGGCCGTAGTGCACACGCTGTTTGAGCCCCTCAAAATTCGCCATGATCAACGATTGACCTGGTCCATTTACAAGGCCAGTTTACGGCCCATGATGTGGCGTCATGCCCTCTTTGATGGAACCTTTTTTGCCACAACCTCGCTGTTACAAGAATATTCCTATGCCACACAGTTTGGAGTCTCTGCATTGGCTGCATCGACCGTCAACTTGACGCACGATGTCTGGAAGACACAATTTATTCGAGCGTTGCCCAAACGGGTGCGATGGATCACTGTCGTACAGGGCATGACCAGCACGTGTTTTCGGCAACAGCTGGTCGTCAAGGCGGCTGATCTAGGCTTCAATTGGTGGGTGACAGGGCTGCTTTTTGCGGCTCTATTTCATCCTGCACACTAGCAGCACCCAATCTGCCTAATCATTCGAGACAGGCATGTATCATACATACATACATGTGCAATGACTGTCAAGAAGGAAATTTTATGAATTGGGTTGCATGAAAACCTCAAACGGGCAAGTCGTGCGTTGTTGAAGCTAGTTTCTTTTTTATTTTGCGCCACCTTCTACGTGGAGGTTGCAACCATTCCTTCTGCATCTTCGACCACTGAGAACCCAACACAATCCGCAACACAACACAACCTGATGACGATGGATCTTGGTCGAGAAGCATTCTCCGTCTTTTGTGACAATACCGTCGACGGCGCGGTTGCAAAGAACCGACAACACAGAGAGGAACAGGCTAGCCTGGAAGCGTTGGACACAATTCAGCACTCGGTTCATATCGTTTCATCCTTTCGCGAGAATGACCAAGGACCTTGGTACAAGTGTGCCGAGGGAACACTTGTGGTGGATCTGCGGGCGTTTGTGGCCAAGACGAAACGATGGTTGTTGTACCGCGTAAATACAGCTCAGATGTGCAAAGTGCCTCTCGAACGGCTTTCGACGCTAAATCTAATCATCTCCGGTGTGGAGCTGCCGGTACCGGAAGGTATGCCTGTGTGTCAGGTTCCGCATCTGAAGGTTTGCCCAAAAACAGGAACGATCCATCTCAAAGCATGGTTTGGTCTCGAATTTTGCGTGGAAGGAAAAATCCATAACTATCCAGGTACTGTGGATGATATCCGAACTTTTGTTCAGGACGGAAGTCGAGTCCAGCGCTTTTTTCTGGACATTTCCGTAACTTCTCCAGGTCGGCCACCGCGTCCTCGCGACGATTGTCTGTTTGGGGCAACCCTGGAGATTGAAAAGTTTGTACTTGCAAGGTACCTTGTGCGGGACCATCTAAAGAAGCCCAAGCCACCTTTGAATGCCCATGCTGACTACGAAGAGCTGCATTTGCTTTCCCAGGTTGCCCCCAACCACAACGTAGTCACAAAGGTCTATCATGAACACAGAACTTTGATGGAAAGCCTATGCGTGCTCAGGAGTTCCAAGAGACTCTTTCAATCGTTTGCAGTGCATGCAAACAACTCTGCTCCGATATTGCTGGACCTCCGTCAAGCTTCTGCAGGTCAAACGCGTCAACATGGATCCTACTGGAGACTCCAAGTGCCAGAGAACCAATCTCTCGTGTCCATCAACGACATTCCAAATCTCTACTTCAAGCTTTCGGGAGTCCGTCTTGTTCCCAGTGTCTTTCATGGCCCCGAAGCTTCCTTTACCAACGCGAGCATGAGCCTGAAATACAAGAAAGGGTTTGGCGTAAGACTGTACTTTATGTCGTTTGAAACTTTCTGTGGCGACCACCACGATCTCCAACTTCAAAATGTTTACTATCCCGTGAGTAGCGTCATTTCTAAGGGACCGCAACCGCAGGTGGAAGGTATCAAGATCAAGCTGATGTACGTCACGATTGACGCTTCACTCGTCCGGAGACACATGAGACTCTTAGGAATGGAACACCCGGGCATGAACCCAACAATCGCATCCGCTGCATCAGAACCTACTAGCGGTGAAGGAGATACCTGATAGCTAACTGCTCGACAAAGTCAGTTACAGATTGTGGCACATCTCATGGTTGGATGTTGTCGTCTGTAAGAATCCACACCATGAGTTACAGTACCCAAAGAAACGCGCCAAAGGAACACATAATCTGCATGTGACGCCCGTGACGCCCGAGTAACTTACTAAGTCGGTATGGTTGTTTCGGCCTGAACTGTATGAATTGATGAGCAAAGGCCCAACATGTACAAGTAGTCTAGCCAGTATCTTTGGGTCCGCCTCTTGCAAACGTCATGTCGAAAGAGAATCCTTTCTGGCTCCCCCCCAAAAAAGACAAAGCATGCTTCCCACCACCATCCCGATGGTCGCACCTACATTTACCCAGCCAGCTACTAGTTTATTGATATCGAATGTGGGTGGATGCGTTGAAGTGGGTTCAGTTTCGGGCGTCTTCAACAAGCTCGGGAGGTCGTTGTGTGGGAGTGAGTTTCGCGACACTAAGTCAAAAAGGATTAATGCGGACATGCATACTCGAAATACTTAGAAGTCATTTTGTCATATCTACGCAGTTCTGGGAAATATAAACTAATTTTGAGGAATCCACTTTCGTAACCGCGACCCAACCTTTTCGTGCCGGACTGGTACGGAGGATTCGGGTAGACTACACTGTACGAGCTAGTAGCACGAGAGTGAGTGTGGGTTTACGCACTACCAGCATGTGTGTCACGGTCGGTTGGTGGGTTCATGCTCATGACATTGTGGTAGCCCAAGGCAAAGCAAGAGCCGCCCTGCAAATCTAACAGGAAGGCAATTAACAGCAGTAGCTCTGGTTCTCCTCGTTGCACCACCATGATCCAGATGAATGGAACGCCGCCAAGTGGAGCTGCAAGTGCTGCATTTGACAGAAATGACTGTAGAAGACCTCCACTACTGTGCCCGCTGACGATGGAGCCTCTTGTAGATCCAGTAGTATCGCCTGATGGAGAGTCGTACGAGAAGAGCGTCGTGGTCTGCGATGAAGAAGCAGGTCTCTACTATCCCAACCGAGCGCTGAAGGAATACATCCAAGCTGTCCCGACGATGCATTCAAGCGGGTCAGAGCCTCCTGCGGATTCTACAACTGATGATGACATACCTCCCATATTAAGTATCCTGGATCTCTTCGTATGCCCCATCACGGAGCAACTGCTTCGGGACCCTGTCATTGATAGGGATGGCAACACTTTCGAGCGGCGAGCCCTTGTGAAATGGATCAAGGAAGAAGGCACTTCCCCCATTACCCGCAGGCCACTAATGGTGCAGCAGCTCTATGACAACACCACTCTCTTACTAGTTCTCACCCAAGAAGTTCATTTGCATATACAAAATGAAACGGAACCAAGAAGCGAAGAACTCAGACAATGGATAACTGATCGGTCGGAGCAGCCCAGCGGTTCCGAATCGGAAGAAGAGCCCGAACCGCCGCAGCCACCGGAACCAGAGCCAGAACCGCCGCGGCCACCGGAACCGCTATCTACAGAGCAGCGTCGAGTGCATCGGAACTGTGCATTGACTATTGCGGTGATCTACCTGTGCCTGGTGCTCGTTGTTGTCGGAACCTTCGCTCTCAACCCATACGTTGCCATTGCGTTCTTCTTGATGACCTGCTTCCTCGTTCCCCGTTTCATCATGGAAACAGGGCTTGCGCTTGGACACACCTTGCCACCTACTTAGCATCCAACTCGAAGAGGTGAACTCTCCAAGCCGGGGTTCCTGAAGCTACGTCCTACGTAGCTACATTGCTCCCGCCGTACAGGCGGGGAATACTTTCGATCAAAGCCTACAAGCAGCTGAGTGTCGAGTTCAAGTCCTTCCACGAAGTTCACCCAGAAACAGCAACACCGAAATGAAAGCTCTACCGGTACAGTCGTACCTCCGACAGTGATAAGTTGTAACACTACTACCATCACTGTAAATGTGATCTGGCTCAATGCTCTATCATCGTTCTCCACCTCGGTCTGCCTCTGTATCCTCAGTTCACTTGCTAATAATCAAAATGTAAGTTCGTATTCTTCATAGTGGTCTCTGCTCTGAACTAGGCTACTGGTAGCTGCTCATCAGGCGCACTTTTCGTGTTTGCACGCATGAAAAGTTTATTTTGGTTTGTCTTCGTAAATTTCCAATTTCATCGTTTTTCACCAATTTTCAATTTTCCAATTCGCAAAGGTCAACAATTCCACCGTCCACCGATTGGAATGCCGGATCAGAGGAAGGCGTCTCCTCGCGTCTGTTTTGTGTTTGTGAGTAGAGGATTCAAGCTCCAGAAGAGCAAGCGATGAAGTCGGAGCTCAGAGAGTCAGCCGTAAAGTGGATCTGATTTGATTCGGTTGTAATGCAAGACCTGGAAGAAAATGGCGACGACACGGAGATCGATGGTGTTGTCCATCATCTGCCGTCAGCAGCATTGGCTCCCCGCCATGATTCGGAGGAGAGTACTACCCTAGAAATCCAATTCAAGTTCTGGAAGAGCAAGAGACGCAAAGTCTCTGGCATTAGAACGTTGCGTGTGCCAATGCAAAAAAGAATTACCGTTGGGTTCGTCAAAGATTTGATTCTGAAAGAGGACTCTTTTTCCAAGGAATATCGTGAAGCACTCCACCATGTCACTGACAACAACAACGGCGACGACGACAACAATGGTGACGACAGAAAAGTATTGGAACGGAAATCACTTCATCTTTTCATGAACCATTGGAATGGCACAGAGCTTCAACCGGACAAGTTCCCGTTGCCAAGGCATTTTGTGCATAACGCTGCTAGATCCACTGAAGCAAGAAACCATGGATCCCAAGGGAGAAATGTCAAAGGATGTGTCTATGTCATGGTTGATTATTTGCTCCGGGTTCACTTTATCGAAAGGCCGCTGACGAAACGGGAAAGGGAAAGCAAGCTCAGATGGAAACACCAACAGCAGCCAACGCGTACAATAGGAGGGGACGCCAATGTGTCCGCTGCTCAAGATGCGCTTCAATGGACCCCAGGCACTGTCCTGACCATTCCTGTTCTCTTGAAGCGTCACACAACGCAACAGATCAAGGAGATGATTGCCGAAAAGATCACAATGCAGGTGGAGCGTCTGCATCTCATGTGGAAGGATCGGGAGCTGTTCAAAGACGAGCCGTTGCCCATGATGATTCAGAATGTTCTCTTGGGAGGTCGGGGCGGCGAAGCTTCCTCAGAGCATACACTGTGCAATGATGGTGACGAGGAAGTAGACGAATCTAGCAGAGGACTACACGACAATGGAGAAAATGGCGACGAAGGAGACATCTTGAAACTCTGGGTAAATCAGTGGGTCGTCCGCATTCGTACCTTACAGGGGCTGTTCTTTGAGTTGGGAGTTGATCCATATGAGCCACTTGTAGGGCTGAAGGTGCAGCTCTGTCGAAAACGTGAACGATTGGCAGTTGCAAGCCCAGACCAGGTGATTCTGATTCGAGGGGATGGCGTCGTATTGGATGATGAAATTTCGTCTGTCGACAAACCGGGTGATGGGGAAAGCTCGTGTCACTTGCAACCACTGCAACGCCTTGGGGTTACGAACGGGTGCACTCTGCACCTAACTCTGCGTCAGTATTACGTCTCGCCTTCAAAGATCGTGGGAAAGAGCTGCTGTCGGATTCCCAAGGCAGAACATCGTGGCATTACATTGCGTCAACTTCGAGAAGTTGCCACTACGATCTTGGTGCAATGCAGAAAACAGCAGTGGACTAGGTCGAGCCCGTGTGGTAAGGAGAGACGGCTGGAATCTGGCGATGTGACGCTCTACGATTTGATGGACAACTATTTGCACCCGGTCACCATGAAACACAAGTGCAGCTACGTGGTGCTTGTGTCGGAAAATGAACAAGATCAGATTCCACGCGTCTTCTGCAGGTAAGAGGATGGTACAAGTTAGGTATTCTCCCACACGCCGCCGTCATATTCGCTCAATGTTCTTCCTGTAACCAGTCACTTTTGGGGATCGAGCGTTCTGCATCTTTTGGCCTGCTTGGAGCAACATGCTTTTGACAGGAATATCGGTGACACGACACCCTACTGGATATGCGGATACGCCCTGTGTCAGCATGACGTATCGAGGGAGCTGGAAGTGGGAAACAACCTTGCTGACACTCCCTTCTATAAAGCAATGACACTGTCGCAAGGGACCGTGTCAATTCTGGATAGCCATGCAACTTGCTATAGCAGGTAGGTGCAAGAGGAGGGACGGAAATGTCTTTGTATTCCAAATGCTTACGAAGTCTTTTCTCTTCGAAACAGGATATGGTGCTCGTACGAAGTCAGCGTAGTAATGAACGATCTGAAAGCGCGAAGTCCATCTTCTGCGCAGGGCCATTTCTATGATGTGTACACGTTGGCAAAAGACGCCGAAGGCGACCCCTACTCCCCTGTGGGGCTTACAGAAGGAACAGTTGCTTCCGACAGATATACACGCAATGCAGATGGCACTCTCAATGTGGCAAAGCGCATGTCTACCTTAAAGTGGAACGACGCAAGGCGCAAACGCCAGTTATCCTTCCCTCTGGAACTCTGCCACCAAGCTCTGGAGGTAAAATTGGAACACGCTCAAGCATCGAGGCAGCGGGACAAGAACATGATTCTCAACAGCATCGTTGGTAACGTCATCGACTCGTCAACGGAACCCCCACAATTCCATGATGCATACGATGATCTGAATGCTGCTTTGCGGGGGAAGTTTGCGGAATCGGCATATCGGATGGCGCTTGAATCTGGAAACGAAGCCCTGCTCCGAGACTTTCGCTTTGCGCTATTCGCTGCCCCGTACAACCGGCTGGCCATGTCGTTTGAAGGGTGTAGCGAGTTCAAGAGTGACTCAAAGCGCTTTGCAGAATCTATTCCTGCGTCATTGGAGCACTTGGAACTGGACATCGGAAGGATCGGGTTCAAAGGATTGGGAGACTTTGCTGAAGGCTTAGCCCGTCTGCACAAGCTCAAATCCTTGAAGCTGAAGGCCAGCTTTTGCAGAGTGCTGAAAGACATCAACGCTCTCTTGAAACAGGTTGGCCAGTTTCAAATGCTGCAGAGACTTGAGCTTGATTTCTCCGAATGCCCCTCCATAACTTCTGTGGACGGGCTGGAGACGGCGTTCCCAAATCTACAACAACTTGCTTTCTTGTCCATTAGAATGGGCAACTGCAACAATCTATCGTCGCTAAAGATATTCGCCGCAGGTCTAGCTGATGTTGCCAACGCTCTCAGTACCTGCCATCTTGATTTTGGATGCCAAGACTTGAAAGATGTTGATGAGCTAGGCAATGCTTTCCGGCGCATGATCCATGCCAATGAGGTTTCTCTGACTACGAAAGGATGCACCATCCGGTCGCTAGCAAAAATTGGTGAAGGGCTCAAATTTGCGGAGAGCCTAGTCTCGCTCCACTTGCATATGTACTCAAGCAGGCATCTTGTTGACATTGGCGGTTTGGGAGAAGCCTTGTTAAACAAGCCCCTCCTTGCTAGTTTGGAGCTTTCATTCATGGGCAGTCAACACGTCTCCTCTATTGGAGAGCTCACAAAGGGTCTAGAGGATTGCATCCATCTACGGTCTCTGCATCTGAACCTGAAGAACTGCAAAGGGCTGGTGTCTATTGTCGGCCTTGGATACGCTATTCAAAAGATGAAAGTATTGGAGAAGGTGTACCTGTATTTTCAAGGCTGTGATCAACTAGAGTCAGTCGACAATCTGGCCGATGCCCTGCAAACTGGGTCATATCCATGTTTGCAGCGCTTGTGGCTCCACTTTGGCACGGATACAGCGTTGGCCCTCCCACCTCACTTCAACTTTTTATCACTAGTAGATGAAATGCCCTCCATGAAGTCCCTGTGTCTCCGGTTTCCGTTTTGCAAAAGGATTGTTTCGCTTGCTGGATTGGTCAAAGCTCTAGAGTTTCTTTTGTTCAAGCAGAGTCGGAGGTTGGATTTGCTGGAGCTTGATTTTGAGGACACGTCGGATCCAGAGGACAAACACGTTTTGGAAGTCTTCAAGATTATTGGAACAGCTCGTATCGAGAAACTGGACTTGAGATTCACAGGTTTTCCAAGGATCCAATCGCACAAGCGTCTCGATCATGAGATATCCAAGTCGCAGCTCGGCGCTCGAGCTGGCCAGCTCTAGCTACGATGTACAATGTATCAAGGACGCGCTGGTTGAGCAAGCCCCAACTCAGCGCTCAGACTGGCAAGTAGGTAGCTATTTTGATGTAGCGCCAATATTTTGAATGGGAAAGCGTGGGAGTTGGCCCGTTTGCCTGTGAGTTCATGACTAAAAGAAATCAGCAATTCTTGTGAAGCGAAGATCCGGAGCTTGCCCTACAATGGACGTTACTATGATGATGAACTACTAGCTAGTACGACTACAAGTACATGCACTACATAAAGAAGCCATGTTTTTTATTTGTAAAGAGTGTCTACTATGTGTTATTGTTATAGGCTTATGTTTGGGTATTTGAGATCATAGTATAGCATCAACAATGATATAGGTTGGTTGTCAGGTGTCACGGGTATTAACTTTGGACTTTCGTCGCGTGGAGGACGTTCGGACAAGCACTCTGCAATAGAGGCCGCCTAGCACAGGAACCACAAACCTGGCTACCTTGTATGTGACCCTTCGATTGAACCAACTGTATTCATCTCCGCAAAATTGTTGTATAGCCCTGCACCCCACCAGATGCTTGCTCGTTGAGTATTGTATTCATGTGTTAGTAGTCCCCGCAACCCGTCATTGTCGCCCAACTTACCTGTTGATCGTCGCCCCCTTGTTCTTCTAGACTGGAATGTACCGGTCAGGCTTTCTTACTCGTCGTCCGGAAAGCGTTGTTGTCTGAACTGTTGCTTGCTGCTGTGTGTCCGTCACAGGTCTTGTCGTCATTTTCTTGCCCTTCGCATTTGGCTGTGTCTTCTTGCCCTTCACCTTTGGCTTTGTCAACTTCCTGGCCGCCGCGCATCTACGTTTATAAATTCTAGGTTGTTTTTCTGCCACCCGAATTGGCTTTGTCTTGATTTGTTCTGCGATTCTTTGAGATGCAATTGCCGCCATGCGTCTCTTTGATCGTCGCAACGTTGATTGTGCTGTGTCCACATTGTCCTCCTCATCGACTCGGTTGTCGACCAGTGGTTCTTCAGCAGCAACTTGTTGTTGTTCCTCGACCTCGACCTCGACCAGTGGTTCTTCAGCTACCACTTGGCCAGTCACAAATTTGTAATCTGTATCATCCGAGGCAACGCCTGCCTCCAATTGTTGTGCCTTGTGCCGCCGCATCATTTCCTTGACAAGGTCGCCACCATCCTTCATCAAGGCTGCGAGAATGTTGTTGGGTACCACTCCAAGTAGCACACCATTCTTCATTCGCATCTCCAAAACAAATGGTTGTTGTCCATGCACACTGATCTTGAAGCGTTTCACATGCCACTTTTGAATGTATGGGACCACTGCTATGCATGTGAGAACCACCGCCGCTTCGCATGTGATTGTGGCATCGGATGCCATCTTGTTGTTGTCGTCGACGGTCGAGACTTTTTCTACTGCCTCGACGTCTTTAGTTGTTGTTGTTGGTTGTTCTACTTCTACTACAGGTGCTGCATCTTCCATGCAGACATCCTTGACCTTGCGATAGACGAATCGTCGATTGGCAATCTGTTCTCGCGTATTCAAGGTGCAAATTTCGTCGTCGAGGTTTCGCTGAATTCCACCGTGGTGCAAGTGGCACATGGCGAGTTCGAACATGTAAGTGTCCTTTTCGTTAACCATGAACCAGTGTGAGACTTTCTTGTCGTTTCCTTTCTTCGCCTTGATGAAATTGACAAGTGCCTCGGGGTCTTGATGCACGGCATCAATTTGAATGTACAGTTTGGCTTGTCTTAGGTACGCTTTGTCGCTTTGGAACCATAGGTTGTTGGTCATCCATCGGGCCACTTGTTGGTATCCGTACTCTTGAATCAACTGCACGAGATCCAAGACACGTTCGTGGGGTGTGGGTGTGCCGACGGAAATGAATTGTTGTTGGGCTTCGTGCCAGAATTCGTATCGGGCCTGTGGCACATGTTTCTTCATGTCTCGATAAACACGGCGGCTTTCGTCTTCTTCACCCTCTTCAGAAGAGTACCCCACTACAGTGTTGACGGGAGCAAAGGATAAACGGTTTCCATTGCTCCGTTCGGTGTCTTGACCGTAATGGGTCTTCCAGCGAGCGTTGGCGGATTGATTTGGTTTGATGCGACAACCTTTGGGCCGGTGCTGGTTGTATTTGTCGCATCCGTAGTGACCATGCTGATCCGCAGGAACCAGGGACAGGTCATAGGCACCTAGGTAGCGACCGTGCTGCTGGAACTCCACATCAGGATTCGTTCCATACGTGTGCAACAGTGCCGCGGTTTGGACGACATCTTTGTCCAACTCGTCCAGTTGGAATGTTGGGACTTCCTCTGCTGCAGGAACATCCTTGTCGTTGTTGTTGTCGTTGCCCGTCATCTCCTTGTCGACCTGGAGAACGGGGGTCTTCTTGGTGTTGCTGTTGTCGTTGTCGGTGGTCCATGACCACGAGAGCAGCTTCATGATAGAAGAAGAGAACTTCATTTTGCAATTGATAGGTATTGAATAGAAGATGGATAGAAAAGGAAATTGAAATTTGGGGGGGGGGGGTTGATCTGGCCTAGGCTTATCAACAATCAAAATCTTCCTTGTTCGTTGGGTATGCAACTCTAGCAATCCGGTTGAACAAAAAAGTGAGCTCATCATGGTGACATTCCATTTTTCCACCTCCAATTTTCAGATGACAGATTCTGCCAGATGGATAATTTTGAAAAACGACATGTGATGAGACGAGACTGAGCCACCGACTCTGGACCCTATAACACCCAACAACACCCTTCCTGAGCCTCTCAGAGTACAGTACCGGTAGTCTTGATGCTACCATACCTGGATGCTTGGTTGTTGTTGCTGTTGTTGTTGTTTGATTGCTGTTGACGAGTTGCCGAGCTTCATCGCGGAGCTCGTGCAAATTTTCATGACGTTTGATCCTCGATGGAACCAGATGGATTTGATCCGAGCACGACGGAAAGACTTAGTAAACAATCTGGACCAACCAGTCTTACGTGGACCATTCGCACTATTAATAGTACAGTACGCCGGCGAGTGCAGCCTCGGTCGAAAGTCTTTCCGACCAGCTGGATCGGGAGTAGAACCCTGGATCCTTTGACGTGTACTTTTTATTTATTAAAATAAGTCTTGCTAAAGCAACTCAAGTAAGTACATCGTACAGTAGTTATTAATAGGGTACGGACTGTACTATTACCACGCACACAGACACACAGAGCTCACACAGATCTAGCTACGATGTAGTACATCGTAGCTAGACAGCTAGACGGGGGCTTCAACAAATTTTTTTGATGCGTCTGCAATGCGTGGCGATCTTACAGTGCCGTACAACTAACGGGAAGTTGGCCTGCGACACAAGCATGCTGTGGTGGCCAAAACTACTGAGATTTAATGCCGTTAAATCCCTAGTGCACTGAGATAATTAAATGAATCGATCTTGTGAAGTCTGACCAAAAATGACTATGAAGCTGTATTCTCTTTTGCAGCTCTCTGTTTAGCAAAGCTGTCTATGCGGTCATTCTGTGGACATTTTGTGTACCGGTACCCTTCACGCCACTAGGTGGAAAAAGTGCTGAGCAAGAAAGTGTTGCGTCTTTCTGGCATTATTGGTAATAATTAATTGGAAGGCTACATGTAATTGGTCGGATCTTATTGTTGACGAGCTTGTTGATTGTTGATTGTAATATTGTAATGCGTTCGCGTGTTCCTTCGGCTCTTTGCTCTTTTCAGCTGTCTTTGTTCATTATTTCATTATTTCTGTCAAGCATCGTATTCTTTCTGATCCTCCTCCGCTAATACCTCGCTTTATAAAAGACCACATAGAACACAATCTCTTCTTTTAACAATCCGACAACAAAGAAGATAGAGATAGACACTAGCTAGTAGACGATGAGCAGTAGCAAGCACCATCCGCCAATGGCGAGAAAGAGTCGCCTCATGGTGTCCTTAGTGTTGGGAATGCTCGTACTTTTGTGTGAACGGGGCCAAGCTGCGACGGTATCGGTCGCATGGGGTGGATTGGAATCGTCGTACTTTAACGATGCCATTGTTACGGCAGAAGTGTGTGAGTACGCCGATGAGATTGTCTTGAGCCATCCCATGTCGATTGAGTATCACGACCGGCACTACGTCTTGGGCAGCCTCATGCTCAAGGCGGCGCAAATGACCGTGGACAAGATCAATATGTGGCCCAACTGTGGTCTTTCCTTGCAAGATGGCCGAAACTACTCGCTGACCCTACAAACATATGGCGATGAATCCGACAAGAACAAGACGGCGCGCATTGGAACTCAGATTGTACAAGACAACAAGACCGATTTCCTCTTGGCGGGATACTCGTCCAGTTTGACGGCGCTCCTAACGCCGATTGCCCAAGACCATCGCAAACTGTGTCTGACAGGCGGCAGTTCCCGCACCAGTGTCCATGCCGATCGCGATTACATTTTTGGACTCAATCCACCCAGTAGTGCTTATTTGGAAAATGCCTTTGTGGGAACCTCCCGGCACGGCGCCAAGACGGTCGCGTACATTGCCGAAGATTCGGCCAGTGCGTGCGATGGCGTCGCCGACATGGCCACCAAGTACGACATGGAACTGGTCGATGTCACGATCATTCCGGAAGAAGCATCACTTGCAGTCTATCAAATGGTGGCGCAGAATGTCTCGCAAATCAATCCCGATCTCATGATTACCTGTGTCCGGACGCGTCTGTCGTACTGGAACGCTGCCATGCGGGCCGTCGATTGGGTTCCCAAAGCACAAGCGTACACGTATGTCGTTGGTACGAATGAATTTGAAGTCGAATTGGGCGCCACCGATTTGCCCTTTACCATGGGAGTCTCCAGTTGGGATTCCGCCATTCCTCCCATTCCCGACGTGGCGAGTGGTTGGACGCCCAAAGCATTTGATGCCATTTTTGAACAAGCGGCATTTCGACGACCGGCGTATCAACAAGTCCAACAAAGTGCCGTGGTCAGTGTTCTAGCACAAGCTATTGAACGTGTCGGTAGTTTTGTGGGACAGAATGCTACCGATCAAATTCGAGACGTCATTGCCACGGGATACTTTCCTACCGTCTATGGCAATGTCAGTTTTGATCCCAATGGACAAAATGCCGTGCCATTCTTGTTGCTCCAATACGACGACGCCAGTACGTTGCACGTACTACTTCCGGACGACAAACATTTTACCGACTTTGAACTGTACTATCCACTTCCTACGTGGGCCGAACGGGATTGTTTGTTTCGATCGACGTGTCTCGTGACGGGAGGCACTTGCGACACCAATGGCACGTGCGGCACATGCCCACCATCGTTTCAATCCACTGGAGTACGAGAAAATGCCACGTGCATCCTGCCGGCATCCGATCAAACGACGATTGTCATTCAAGAATCGACCGATTATACACTGACCGTCATTATTCCCACCATTGTCGCCGTGATTGTTGCGGCGGCCGCCTTTATTTATTGGGTCAAAATCGCCAAAGATCGAGAGAATGATTCTGTTTGGAAAGTCCAGCCGGACGAATTGCAGTTTGGAGATCCCCCCACGATTATTGGAAGAGGATCGTTTGGGGTTGTGCTGCAGGCCGAATTTCGTGGCACGCAAGTCGCCGTCAAGCGAGTGTTGCCACCTCGCAACGATCCCGATAGTTCGGAGGTTATGAAACGCATCAGTGGCGCCGTGATGAAGAACAAGAAAAAGCTGCGGTCCGTGATTCATCATAGTTTTGAACGAGCACAACAACAAGAAGACGATAATCAACAACAAACAATGACAAACAAGAGCAAACGGGATGTCACCGAGGGTCTGTCGTCGGGGACATCGCAAAAGGGGTTGTCGTCGGGGATATCGCAAATGTCGCTGGGATTAACGTCGGGGGGAGTAGGGGGCAGCACCAACAAGTATCTCATGACACCACCGAGAAATATCAGCGAGTTCCGGTTGCGGGAAGAGTTTTGTAAGGAAATGAGAACGCTCAGTCGACTCCGTCATCCTTGTGTCACCACCGGTAAGGAAATGAAGGTTGATTCTTTTTGGAACGGGCAGAGAGTCCCCAAATATAGTGCTAACCTCCCTTGTCTGCTTGTATTGTACTGTACGCAACAATCAAAAAGTGATGGGGGCAGTTGTGGACCCAAAGGTAGAACCCATGCTCATTATGGAGTACATGGAACAGTAAGTTGAGAAGAGGAACACCGAGTACACTTGAGCTAGCCACTGATTGTGCGCGCTCTGACCCGCCCTTTCGCTCAACTCAATGCTCAGTGGATCACTGCAGGATATTCTTCAGAATGAAACCATGTTTATTGAAAAGGAAATGCTTCTTTCCATCTTGAAAGACATTGCATCTGGTTGTAGGTTCCTTCACTCGGCAGACCCTCCAGTGCTACACGGGGATCTGAAGGTACGTCACTTTTACTTTGGCAAAACAATCGACGTGTTGCTTGCTGGGCTCCTCACCCTAATTTGTGTGGCATTTTTCAGGCTGGGAACATACTGGTGGATGGCAAATGGCGGGCGAAAGTGAGCGACTTTGGGTTGTCACACAGGAGGGATACTGAAGCCACCGGAACGGTAAGTTGGGCCTGTTGAAGTCCCTTGTCATGTTGGCACTATTTTGTTTGGGCCTCACCTTTTTTGGTTGTTTCAGCCATTCTTTATGGCGCCCGAGCTGCTTCGAAAAGAGAGCTTGAACACGAAGGAATCGGACGTGTACAGCTTTGGAATCCTGCTGTTTGAGGCTGTCTCTCGTGAAGATCCTTACGTCGAGGATGAAGAAGAGGACGTCTCTGACATCCTTCGTCAAATTGCCGACCCGCACATCAATAAGCGCCCATCGGCGCCTGCCGATTGTCCACAACAACTTGGGTCGATGATGTGTGATTGTATCGTCGCGGACCCCACCGAACGTCCAACCTTTGAAGAACTCGACAAGCGACTCCAACGCATTGACGTTCGAAAGATGAAAGAAAACGGTTTCAGAGGCTCTGCATCGCGACAATCCTATGGAAGGGATCGGACGACAGTTTCATTGTTTGACATCTTCCCCAAACACATCGCCGAGGCTCTGCGCGACGGACGAGAAGTGAAACCGGAGCATAGAGACATGGTCACGTAAGTTGCTTCTTGCTTTGTTGTCCTTGCAACAATGACCTCCACTAACAAACTTTCCCCGCCATGCACTCTTAGAATCTTCTTCAGCGACATTGTTGGTGCGTGTTTTTTTACAAAACATCTACTTTGCTCCGACGTCCAAATACTTACTGTCTTTATTCTTTCTGTTGAGCAGGTTTCACTGACATCTCTGCTACACTGGAACCGCGAAAAGTAGCCTCCATGTTGGATCGATTCTATCACAAGCTTGACAGTCTTTCAAACATGCACGACGTATTCAAGGTACTGTAGTTACTCTATCTATGATCGAGGCTCCAATACATACATATTCTTACCAACTCTCTTTTGCGGCGATGATCTGACTCAGGTTGAGACCATTGGTGATGCTTACAGTAAGTTTCCCTTGAGCACCAAGGAACTTCACGAGGTGTTTCATTCGTAGCTCAAAATTGTCTTGAATAATCCCGCTATCTCTTCTTTCAGTGGCGGTGACCAACCTGGTGAAAGATCAGCCCGACGATCATGCAACTCGCATCGCAGAGTTTAGCGTCGACGCAATCATGGCAGCACACGAGACCCTGATTGACCTGGAACATCCGGAGTTGGGGCACCTGAATATTCGATGTGGATTTCATTCGGTAAGCAACATGATAGCTTCTTGGTGCTGGATACATTGTAACCCTGTGTTGCTGATATCTTGGATTCTAATATCATTTTTTTTTTGTTCGATACGATGATCATTTACTAGGGTCCAGTTGTTGCCGACGTCGTGGGAAGTCGCAATCCTCGCTATTGTTTGTTCGGTGATACTGGTTCGTTGCCCGCTCGTGCTTGACGCTCTTCTGTCTGGTCTGATCCTGACACATTCTTGTTTTCTCCTGTTTGATTTTATTGGTTCCAGTGAACACTTCCAGTCGCATGGAAAGTAACTCCAAGAGGAACCGCATTCACTGTTCCGAGGCTTCAGCCTTGCAACTTGAGAAAGAAGGAGCTACCGTGCCCGTAACGTCGAGGGGTATCATCAAGGTAAAAGGCAAGGGCAAGATGAAGACATTCTGGGTGAACGAAGATGCCGCGAACCCACCTCCTGCAATGGAGTCTCCTCTCGACCTGGATATTGTTGACGAGGAGTTGGATGAATCCAAGTTCTTCAATAACACCAACCACTCGGCGGTGCTCACCAATACGGAAGATTCTTCTACCTTTTCCAACCGTTCCTTCGCGTTTTCCAACCGTTCCTCCTCAGCCTTTTCCTTTAGGCGTTCGAGCAAATCCCGTCCCAGCTTCGCGAGCGCTTCCCCTCCTAATCAAGACAAGGAAGAAAACTCTGAAAGCCCGTATGAAGCTTTTGCCAACAATCCCGAGCAAGTTGCGGAAGCTGTTACGGAGGAAGAATTGTCCAATCCGTCTGGGGCCTTTTCCAATCCGTCCGACGAGCACTTCAATGATGAACGATCTGGCATCTCAGCGATGTCTAGCTAGCTAGATTGCTCTTGGCTTTGTTTTGGGTCGGTAGCTGACAAGGGGAGATTGGTTGGTTGGCAATGGATTTGCTTTGATTTGGGAATAGAAGGCTCACTCGTAAGTGTGTCCACGATAGATATCTTTTACAATCAGCTTTCGTAGCTCATACTACACCTACTCATGTGTACCGTAATCATATACAAATGCTTGAGAATGAACTTACTAGTACCAGTATCGCTTTCAGCTTCTCATTATTAGACACCACGACACAAAGTGCCTGTCTGTACTATCTTCATCGTGCCAAGTGTTCACCATTCGCTTTTCTCATTTTTGATTTCCTTCGGTGTGATGATAAGCCCGCTCCTTTGCAGCTCCTCCTCCCAAGGCTTCATAGCATGGATACCAGATTCATATATCGCCATTGTCTTCCGCAACAAATTGACCGACTGTGGGATGAGACCCAAATTCCCGGCTCGCTTTATGAGTTTGGCAATCTTGCACTGATGATCCCTGGCTCCAAGCCGTGTCCTGACACGATGCATGATCTGTCCAGCTGGACTAGTCTAATATAACGTCGTAGTAGCGCAAGATTGTTGTGGTGAAGCAACTCGGTGGGCAATGGTTTGGCTCGTTTTCGATTGACGACCCGCGACAAATTCAGATCTCTGGGCAACATGTCTTCAAATGGGTGCTTTTTAGCACCGACCTTTTTGCTGACTTCCCATTTGGCTCTGCTTGTGAGCCACTTGAGACAAAAATCTTGATTGTCGGGATCTTCGGCGGAATCATCGGTATTTCCCTGCATGTGAATTTCCTTGTCATCTAGAAGAACACCAGAGGGCTTTGATGATGATGATTTGGAAGTAGAGTCATTGTGCACTGGGAAATCTTCTTCCGAGACAGCGGTATTGCGCTGATCATCCATGTATTTTTGAAAGGACTCAAAAAATTCCGATTTGGTAAAGTTCTGAGTGAATCCAGTTTCCTTGTCTCGTCCAAAACTCTTCTCCATCATCTAGAGCACTGTGGTGGCCTCTTGAGCCTTGACCGAACGTCCCAGGACATTCAGCAACATCTGCGCAAGCCGCACACATTTGCCCAAGTCATCCACCACTTTGGTGTCTCCAGCACCACTGTCCTCCTGATCCTTCCAGCTTTCAATCACACGCTTGCTTGCTCACCAATTGATCTCGTTCATAGGGATCCATTTGAAGGATATCCTTTTCGGCTTTGGTCAATTCGCGTTCGACTTCACCTGTTAATATTCCAGTGGTAGCATCGCGCTTTACTTTGGGTAGAAACTGACTCGCAGGTCCCAAATTGCCACCATCGTCAAACAATATTCCAAAGGGATCTATGTCTTCCTTCTTCTCGTCGCCGTCATTGCGTCATTGCCTCCACCACCTGTTGTCGAGAGAGAGCGCAAAGGAGCCAGAAATTGGTTGGCGGGATATCGACCGACACTCTGAGTGAAGGACACTCTGCACTGCCGCTGCAGCAAGTAGGATAGGCTTTGTGAAGCAGCCGACGAGGACAGGATGCGCTGCTCATGGTCGCCATTCGACGCCATGTCGGCATGAATTATTCGATTGTGTGGCATTAGTTGGCAGAGCTGCGTTGGAAACCTCTTGCACTTGGTTAGAAATACTTTGTTGCTTTAACCCTTGCACTCTTTAACCCTACCGTAGCTCGTAGCCCAAAACAAATTAGCTCTGATGACTTGCTTGCATCCGATCAGCCCATCCCGATATCCGGAATTCTGTCCCCTCAAACTACAGAAGAGAACAAATATAATGTCCGAAAGAATAATGAGTCCAATCTGAGAGAGAGGACTGAGGAAAACTGCAGCTGGAGACCACCTGACCTGTTTGTCATTGCCATCACGACGAGAGAGCCCTGTAGATATATATATATATATATTGATCTTTTTTGGCCATTGGTGAAGAAGTAAGTCAGTACCAGCAGTGATCCATCTCAATGCTGCGAACAAGTCGAGGACGGTTAGCGTTGGTACGGTACCGAGGGACTCCCATTTGCCAACTCTACAGGAACTCAGCAATGACGAATTCTCCAAGGTCTACCCATGTGGCGGCATTGCTGTTGCTGATGCCTCTGCTGGCGACAGGGTTCCAGCTTCGGACGCTTCCCCGCCTCTCTGCAGTGGGTATCCCAAACATGGCGGTCCAACCATTCAGAGGAAAGCCAATATTCACTCCTCGATGTGGAAAGCTGTTCAGTACCACCTCTCCAAAAGACACGGATACCGACATTCCTGTCGAAAGCACCAATCGCGGCACTTGGGAAGAAGAACATGACGATGATGAAGAGGAAGAGGAATTGAGCCAAGAAGAATCAGATGATGAAATCGACGCCAATGAGGATGACGATGACAATAGCCCTCTTCTTCAAGAATACGAGCATTGGATGAAAGCCATTTCCAAGGCACAAACGGGTCTATCCAAAAAGCAGACTTCCTTGGAACACGAACGGAGCAAGGCACAAGCACTCGAAGACACGGTGTCACGGGCACAATTAATTGTCAACAATCTATATCTATTCAACAACAACAACAACAACAACAACAACAACAAAGATGACAATGTCTACTACGTGGTAGATTGGGAGAAGGATGGGATTGAAGTAGAATTGAAATTGGATCCACAGTACGAATCGGCATCGGCCGAAGCAGATGCCCTCTTTGCACAAGCCAGGAAATTAAAGAGAGGATCCAAAGTCGTGGAAGAATTGCTCGAACAAGTGAAGCAAGCCCTGCAACTATTGATGGACTGCCAAGCCGATTTGGAGTCGGCAAAACAACCACAACAAGCTATGGACGAAGGACGAGTGCGATTGGTACAAGATCGACTGCGAAGGACATCTAGTACCACCCAATTTCAGGAACCACAAACGCAATCTCGTGATGTAACTACCAACAATTCACGCAACAACAACCAAAACAGTAATTCACGCCACAACAACAACAACAAGAAAAACAAGAAACCGGCGTTGGGAACCCCCGCCTCTCATGTCCGAAAATTACTCACCCCCAACGGCGCCACGGTCCTCGTGGGCCGAAATCGTCGCGGCAATGAATACTTGACATTTACACAAGCCCGAGGAAATGACATTTGGATGCACGCTCGGGGTACTCCCGGGGCGCACATTTTGGTATTGGATCGTCGCGGCAGTGTTCGTCCTACGGATGCTTGTATGGAATTTGCCGCCCATTTGGCGGCCTTTTACAGTGACGGACGCGCCGAAGCCAAGGTTCCCGTTACGGTGGCGGCTCCCAAACATTTGCTCAAACCACGAGGAGCGCCATTGGGTGCCGTCAAGTTGCGACAAGAAGGACAAGTCTTGTACGGGTGCCCCGAATTGGTGCCGCCGGAATTGGTACAAGCGCGAGCGCAATCGGGACAATCGGAAGAGTATCGGTCGGCCGACAAGGCCAAACATCGGAAGCAAACCCGGCAACGGCAGCAACGAAAAAGGACTGGTAGTAGTAACAACAAGAGACGGAATAAACAACAACAGCAGCAGGAAGAGGATGGGTGAGTGAGGCGCAAAATTGGTGCTGTTGGTGACGGAGGGAGGCTCCCAGTTACTTGAGATGGATGGATGTACATAAAAGTAAAGAAGATGAATCTTACTGGCTAGCGTAGAAGAATTCTTCAATGCATGAATCGAATCGAATCGTCTGCGAAGCCTCTTTGCAACCTTTAAAACAAGCTACCGGTTGCAGGATCTAGTTGGTGCGGACTAGGCCAGCGGAATTCTGCTTAATGGCTGCAAGACTCCTCTGCGTCCCTTTCCCAAGAGGTTGAGGAGACTTACTATACCTCTCCTAGCTGGGGGTTTACAGTGAACCGGAAGGCCCTGGCTAACATCTGAACCATGATACTGCAAAAATCGGGTATCCCGGTACCGGAAACCCGACCTTTCACGGCACGGAAGAGGTCCTTCCAATGGCGCGGTCGTGGTTGGCTGCGGCCGGCCACGACAACATTGTTCCGAAAGACCCTTGGTGGTGGCAACTAAAAAAAACTTCTTTCCTTTGAAGTTCTACCGTGTTGGGAACTTCGTCACGACAAAAGAAAAAGTCGTCACGTGGAGGTACGGTACGGCACCATTGGTATCCCAGCCACTCTAGCTGGCTAGCTAGCTAGGAGCAATAGGTAGTCAGCCATGTACAGTATAAGGGCTGAACCAGCACAGCCAAACTACGCACGCCGAAGTCAGTGGATGCGAGATGTTCGTGGAGCCACACGATCTGAGATCCAACTGATCCAACCGTGCACTCGTCCTCCCCGATCGATAATGCCCAAGTGGCGATACGGCTGCTTACTGGCACTTTTGCTGAGGAATTGTTGGAAGCCACGCTCCCAACACGACAACCTGACTACACCCAAACTAAGAGTTGGACTTCGTGCTTGAGTCAGAATGGCGTGAAACAGCTCGCGAATGATTCATCATTGCTTGAAGATTCATCGGCACAACACGCACGAAACAAAATGAGGGGGAGAAACTTCCACCCCCTTTCCTTTAAAGCAACAACTACATAAACCCTCATTTATTTCCCCCTTTTCGAATTAGACAACCCCAGTGATAAAGCAGAACACTTTCGAATGGCATCGAATTGGGACCTCGTCATTGAACTGCGAGCCAATGAGCCAATCCAAAACAATTCTTCCATCACCCATCACACCGTCACAGAGATCCTTGCCTGGTCACATCGATCCGGAAACCAAAAAAAGAAAAATTTGACTCATCCATCACAACTCTTTGGATTACAAAACACAAAACCAATCCTTACAAACTCAAAACAACAACAGAAGAAAAGTAATCAACAAACTTATCACCATGTCAAAGCCAACCGAAGTCGAAACCTCATCCGTTGACACCCCGACAACAGATTATGATTCATCGTCATCCATCACGTCGCACTCATGGGAAGCTGAGGCCATCGTCGAACCACACCAAGGATACAAAAAAGTTCTTGTGACTGGAGGTGCTGGATTCATTGGAAGCAGTGTTGCTGAGTTCCTCCTCAAACGAGGCGATGATGTTGTCATTGTCGATGAAATGAATGACTACTATGATGTATCATTCAAAGAGGCCAACCTCAAGCTCTTGCTGGACAAATTTGGATCCAAGAGGGTTTCCATTTACAAGGGTGACATCTGTGATGCTACCCTCATGACTGATGTGTTTGAGACTCACAGACCTGAGTGGGTGTGCCACATGGCTGCCAGAGCTGGTGTCAGGCCTTCCATCAATGATCCCTACATCTACATTCACTCCAACATTGAGGGAACAACAAGGTTGATGGAGTTGAGCCACAGGTTTGGAGTCAAGAACTTTGTGTTTGCCTCGTCCTCTTCCGTGTATGGTGGCTCCAAGAGCACCTTCTTCTCTGAGGATGAAGTGGTGGACAACCCAGTCAGTCCCTATGCAGCAAGCAAGAAGGCCTGTGAGCTGTTGGCATACACCTACCATCACTTGTACAAACTCAATGTGACTGGTCTCAGGTTCTTCACTGTGTATGGCCCACGAGGTCGCCCGGACATGGCTCCCTTCAAGTTTATTGACAGGGTCTGCCGTGGTGTGGAGTTGCAGCAGTTTGGAGATGGCTCCTCTTCCAGGGACTATACCTACATTTCCGATATTGTGGATGGCGTTGTTCGGGCATTGGATCGTCCACACCCCTACCAAATCTTCAACCTTGGTAAAGGGTCTGGCACCTCCTTGAAGGAGTTCATTGATTTGGTTCAGAAACACACTGGCAAGAAGGCCTTGATCAAGGTATTGCCAGACCAGCCAGGAGATGTGCCCTACACTTGTGCTGATGTGAGCAAGGCAGAGAGGATGCTAGGATACAGGTCAAGTGTGCCCTTTGAAGAGGGAATCAGGCGCACTGCTGAGTGGTACAAGGAGGCATTTTCTCACAATGATATCAAGGTTTGCCCCGAGACACAGGCGAATGGATTGGGCAGATCACCATCATTTGTTCAAATTGTGGCCCCTGAGATTATGCAGTCTTAAGAAATGGCCGCACTTTTGGACACGATTTTGTTTTGATGGTTCGGCTCGGATAATTGTTACATAAATTCTAGAAAGTTTTGTTTTATGATAATCCACATGGCTCTTCTGTCTCTTGATCTTATTCATGGAGCGCGACTTGCTTGTTGTGGCAGATTGTCACGGAGATACAGCCGTGCCATCAAAGACCGCGTGGCTGCGGCACTAGATAGCTAGCCATCATGCTTTCCCTCTTCCTTGTGTTCAACTGTTCAACTCGAGGTAGCTGACAAGCCACCCTACTTCTCTGTGTATCTTTTAACCGAGACATGTACTCTCTCAGGTCCCTTCGAGTGATAGATCTAATTCCAGCAATCCATGTGTTGTACATACTACTACTAGTAGGGCTTGAACTTTAAGAAGCAGGAGCTCGCACAAGCAAAAGCAGGCACAAACACAATAACAAAATTTGATGCCAGCAACGGTACCGGTTACCAGAATGTCTGTTGTACTGGTACGTACCAAACTTATAACTTATTCACTCTAAACGTACTGAATATTTACAGTGGAACCACCGATAAGATAGTTGGTAAATCCATACGATTTTAGCAAAAAGTGACTGAATTAAGTAGTTTTACTCTCAAACTGCCGAATGTTAAATCCTTTCTTCTATACGCGTTTTACCAAAGAGCACAGGCAGCAAAGATCAGACAGCTTGAGCCAAGAGCCACCCGAACCAGCAAGGAGCCGGTAAATATCTTCCACAACACCATCATTGTTCCTCATTTTTCTTGCTTCTCGAGCTCTCTTTTCGAAGGCAGCATTACAGTAACTTCTACAACTGCAAAGGCCATATCGATATCGATTCTGTATGCAGTCAGTAGTCTATTGTCTATTGTCAATGTATGATGTATTCCATTGAGGAATAAGGAAAACTCTTCGATGATTTCAAAAGGAGTAAAAGCGAGAACCATCGTCGCTTTGGTATTGGTTGCCAAGGTGCTGCGGGTCTCGGGTCGAAAGCTTCCATGTGAGGCTCACAAAACCAAAGGATCCAAATCCCAAAGCCAAAAAAGATATTTAGCAGATCCTACAGAAACAAAAATGAAGTGGCCCACTCCTGAAAATTCTGAATCTTTCAACACGGTCAGCGATACAGAAAACTCAAGCTTGTCGTCTTCCCCGGTGTCATGGGATAATATCGTTGTAAAACCCCATGTTGGATACAAGAAGGTAAGTAGATGCTCTAGTGGATGAGAATTGTTACCAAAGAGGTAACGCAAATTTCGCCGCTGAAGATCTCACCAATGTTGCAAATGGGAAGGTGCTGGTGACTGGAGGTGCTGGATTTATTGGAAGCAGTGTGGCTGAGTTCCTCCTCAACCGAGGCGATGATGTTGTCATTGTCGATGAAATGAATGACTACTATGATGTATCATTCAAAGAGGCCAACCTCAAGCTCTTGCTGGAAAAATTTGGATCCAAGAGGGTTTCCATTTACAAGGGTGACATCTGTGATGCTACTCTCATGACTGAGGTGTTTGAGACTCACAGACCTGAGTGGGTCTGCCACATGGCTGCCAGGGCTGGTGTCAGGCCTTCCATCAATGATCCCTACATCTACATTCACTCCAACATTGAGGGAACGACAAGGTTGATGGAGTTGAGCCACAGGTTTGGAGTCAAGAACTTTGTGTTTGCCTCGTCCTCTTCCGTGTATGGTGGCTCCAAGAGCGCCTTCTTCTCTGAGGATGAAGTGGTGGACAACCCAGTCAGTCCCTATGCTGCAAGCAAGAAGGCCTGTGAGCTGTTGGCATACACCTACCATCACTTGTACAAACTCAATGTGACTGGTCTCAGGTTCTTCACCGTGTATGGTCCAAGAGGTCGCCCGGACATGGCTCCCTTCAAGTTTATTGACAGGGTCTGCCGTGGTGTGGAGTTGCAGCAGTTTGGAGATGGCTCCTCTTCCAGGGACTATACCTACATTTCGGATATTGTGGATGGTGTTGTCCGGGCATTGGATCGTCCGCACCCCTACCAAATCTTCAACCTTGGTAAAGGGTCTGGCACCTCCTTGAAGGAGTTCATTGATTTGGTTCAGAAACACACTGGCAAGAAGGCCTTGATCAAGGTATTGCCAGACCAGCCAGGAGATGTGCCCTACACTTGTGCTGATGTGAGCAAGGCAGAGAGGATGCTAGGATACAGGTCAAGTGTGCCCTTTGAAGAGGGAATCAGGCGCACTGCTGAGTGGTACAAGAAGTCGTTTTCCTGGTGAAGAGACGCTCTCACTGCTAGATGATATTGTGAACACTGTAATGACAAGCGACAAAACTAAAGAAATACGGATGAATGTGTGTTCAAATAATAAGCTACAACGAAAGGTTAGCCAGCTAGAATCCTACTCTGCCCAAATACTTTTCGGCCAAATCTTTGTGCCTGGATTGTCGCAGTGCCCCGTAAACGCTGCTTTCATCTATCTGTGATGTCACGATAGGCCAAGCACCACCCATGCCGACCAATGAAGATCGATAGCTCAAGCTTGCATTCGTGGGTGTCTGAAGGACGACGATTTGAGCCTGCACAAGGAAAACATTGGACGTGATTGCAACATTAGAAAATGCGACGAGTTGTCCCAGGTCAAAAGAAGGTGTGAGCTCACCTCAGCTAGCCTGTTCAACAGCAACAGAGTCTCTTCCAAACGAGGTGGGGGGCTGTACTCGTCATCCCCCATAGCACCCGCCATAGCATCCATCTTTGTTAGGATCTCTTCAATATCAAATCCTTTGTTCTCTCGACCAGTGGTTCTGCTCAGCGATGCCAGAGAAACCACTAAGAGTGCTTCGAATGGAGTTGACTGCGCAACAGATTTGGCAAGCCCCGAATCAGAAGCATCCTTACTGACTTTTTGCACGTCCGGAATCTTTACCAGCATCTTTCGGCTTTGTTGGCCGTTGGATTGATTGCTGTGTATGAGCTCGTTCAACACTCTCTCCGCGGCAGAGCGGCAAAATTGGAAAGCTTTTCTCACGTCTCCCGAGACTGCTGCAGTTTTCTTGGCAGCAAATGTAATGGCATCATCGTCAAATACTGGAAAGTCCTGAAGACCCAACGACGAGAAAAATGGTTAGTGTTTCCTGAACACACGCAAGGTGATGACTGCAAGGTGGTGACTTACAGGCGATGCTTGGTGAATCTTAGCTTTCAATATAGACTTGATTTCTTTGACATCGTATGATTTGAAGTAGCATCGCTTGTTCCCAATCCTTGATTGGACTCTAGGTTGTAGTCGTTCCGGCAGGTTCAGAGTGTTGGACACCCCAATGACTACAAGTCGACGTCCACTTTGACCGGAAGCACATAGCGCCGCAGACCTGCGGGGCCAATCAAAGAAATTGTACATTACTGTTTGCTTTTGTGTCACAAGATAGTCAATTTCGTCGAGCAGAACCACAGTGACAACATTTTCCTTCGGATCAACTTGTCTGGAAGGTGAGGTGAAATACTTTTCCAGCGCAGCCGCAGCTTCTTCCTCCGAATTTCGTACTCTCACACCACCCTTCACAGCTTCAAGCAGGCGGACGTAGGCCTCGAAGGGGTGGCGCATCTCCATGCCATTCAAAGCAACGAATCGAAATGCTGGAACAAGTCCAGATGCCTGATCACGTTGGAGCTTTGCAATGGCGGCTCGAATGCACGCAGTTTTGCCCATGCCTGGAGGCCCTGCACAAAACATCGACGAGCCAGTTTCCTCGTTCCCACCGCAGATTGCACCTTTCAGAAACGACATGATTTCTTCCTGCTCTTTCCCCCTACCAATCATTTCGGATTCGCTTGATTCCTTGGAGGCATCAGTCAAGGAAAGCTTCTTGATAACCTTAGCAAACGCCTCTTTCCAATCGCCAGAGTTTGCTTTGTCTTTAATGGGGCTACTTCCTCCTCCAAGCAACTCTCGAAGCACAGCATCCTCGCGAATGTACTTCGAGTGCGATAACCCCCTTGTGGTTCTGCCTTCCAGACCACCGCAAGGAATTAACGATCTTCTTATGATTGAGAAGAAGCTGCGGCAGAAGAACTCCAAGACGGGCATACCTAGTTGGAAATCAGACTTCGTCTTGCGCCCTGACGTCGTATGAAGCTTCACCGGCGCCACAATGGACGAAGCAGCGATGTCGTCAACATGGTCACTCTCCACAATCTCTTCAAGTGTTTTCAAAGATCCAACTTCTTTGCGGTTTTTGAAACTGGGAAGCTCGTTATTACGGTAGAACCACCGAACTTCTACCCAAACGGAAACATGAACTTCATCGGAGCTGCAACTCTTTGGGCTACCAGCATACCCTCGCTGGGTATCATTGAAATCGTCCTTGTAAATACAAACAACCTCAGCCACTAGATCGGATCAAGTTGCCACGACAAGTGCAAGGGTGAGCAAGGGTGAGACATAATGTTTCATGAACTATCCCGTCGGCAACAAAACTCGTACCTCCCCACGGCATGGAAAAAGGATAGTTGGACTTCTCCTCTCGAAGCTTCACTTTGGTTTTCAGATCGGGCTCAAAGTAGGCTGCTCCGCCGCCTTTGTATTTGTTATCCTCATAATGTGCAACAATCACGTCACCAAGGTTTAGTTGCCAAAGCGCATCCTTGCGTTCGTCTGCGGCGCGAATGGCGAAGCTCCCGTATGCCGGTTCCAGTTTGATCTTGTCATAATAGGCTCTCTTTGAAGATTTGTCAACATGAATAGGCTCGAAAGGAATCTGGATGCGCGCCTCTTGTCTTGATTGAACGGATCGTGTTGATTCTGGAGAGAGCTGTGCCGGTGAATCGGATGAGTCTGGCTGCGAGCTTTGTGTGCGGTCGACGCCGGAAAGTGGCGTACCCATAAGTGCCTGTTGGTGTAGAAAAGCGACGCTGTTGCTGCTTTGTCGTTGCAACTCTCGTTTGCATCGTGCACGAAAGATTTGTATGGCTTCCTCCCTTCTCGATGGAGAGTCGTACTGAGTAGCAAACCCAACACTTCTTTCAAAAATCTGCACTAGGCTGTTCGTGGATGACGCAGATCCTTCATCACTGCTAGGTTCGCCGTACCAGAACGCTGCTGTTGGCATAAATACTTCCTTCGGTAGACCCAGAACTGCGTCTCTTTGACTTGGAGGATTGCTAGTTGGGAAATATATGGAAGCAGGGCCGAGTAGGTTGCATGATTCTGCACCCGAGGGGCGTTCGGGCAGCTCAATGGCGTACACTTCGCTTGTCTCAACAGCAGTGGACAGCAGCTTTCCGTCCGACGGTGAAAGTCGGCGCACCGTTTCAAGGCGGAACTTTAGTAGTTCCACGTGATATCCCGTGGTGGCGTTTTCGTTCTGCGATACATCAGCGCTGGTAGCCAAGCTCCGGACTATCGATACAACCTGAGCAATGCTCCATGGTACAGTGAATGGAAACGAATCTTCTTGGCTTTCTTCTGCATCGCGTACCGCCACAAAGTCTCCAACAGTAAGCGTCCACAGAAGCCCGGAACGATCTCGCTGGTCGCATAGTGGATACTGGCAAAGGTCCCATCGAGGCAAAATCTGCACTGATTCGAGGAATCGTTTGGCGGGTGCCACGCCCGAGTCCCCAAGGCGAAACTCAATGGGATTTTGGACCATAACGGTGTCGCTGCTGTTCTGGATCTGGTTTTGGTGTCGGGCTGGGGCAGGTAGCTTGTATGTGTTTTCATCCAAAAGGCCCTGGTTCTGTGTGAGGAGTTGGGACACGTTGCAACCACGGCGGAAAAACCGATTTAAGAGGCATTCCGCAAATTTTGCCTCCTCTCGAGAATCAGCCATGGGACAGTACAGCGCGTCAACGGAGCCGTGGGCACTCCAGAAGAACAAAGCCAAAAGATTGCATTGGATCGTCGGGACTGACTTGGCGTCGTAGTTAGTTTGACGACGTCCCATCGACAACTCGACAACTTTGTTTCCTTGCCCCTTTCTGTGGAGCTCAACTGGACAAAGAACATTGGAAGCTGGGATGTCCTCTTCTATCATGTCGCTTTCGAGGACATCCAAAGTAACACCGCCTCTCTCGCTGCGGCTTGAATGTTGTCTGTTGTACCCGCCGTGTCGCAAATTGTTTTTCCATTCTTCCGGCAATTCGGTGACTCGCGACAGCCATCGGACTTCAAGAAAGACATCATGGTTTATGTGCTTCTTGGAATTGCGAGTACGAGCGGTGCTGCCTTTGGTATAGATAGTGATCACCTGTCCAACTTTCCAGTGCCCTCGAAATGGGTAGTAATTGCCACTTCCATTTTGCGAGCCAATTTGTGGTTCCTGTTCTCGCGCAATGCACACGACATCCCCCACTTTCACTCGAAATTGGGGTGCCCTGGGACTCTGCAGGAGGAGCTCATTAGCTCGATCAAATACCAAAGTCTCGTAGTGACTGATTTGCAATGGCAACTCCAGAGAGTCCCAAAAGGTGTACTGATCGTCCACTTTGAGCAACACTTTGCTTTTCCCCAATGGATTCAATAAGGGAGTGTCGCCGCTGTTTGTCGCACTAGACTCCCTGGCAACGGTCCATCGATGCCCCTCCGTGGCCAGGGGGAGTCTCCATTTTGAAGGATTCCAGGTCATCATCTGCAGATTCAAAAACTTGTCGGACTCCGTGTCGTTGTTGGCGACTGACACGGACAAGATTCCGGACTGCGCGGGTCTGTTCTTGTGGCTGTGCCTGCCTTGTTTCAGCATAAAGGCAGAGTATCTGTCAAAGGGCAAGTGACTCAAATCTTCATCCTCGGACGTGACGGCCCGTTGCCACGGTTGGAATGTGCAGAAATAGTTGTCCCATTCCTCCTGTACCGGAATCATCCAAGCCGCCACGGGTTGTTTCTTTTTGCCGGTTGCTTTTGCGAAGTCTCTATTGTATTTGTAGTGGCATTGCAACTGCAGCGGCATTTCGTCGCTTACCGCCACGGTTCCCATGTTGAGTTTTCCCCAGGCCCACTTTACAGGTTTGTCATCGACCAAAGACGTTTCCAAAACCTTGCAGTGTGGTGATGTTTGCAAGTGCTCGACAATCTCGGGGGCTTCCTTTTTCAATCGTCGCGCCACTGGGGGGTCCAATTCGGATAATTCGGACCACCGAAGGAACCATCGCACCGTCATGTGACATTCTCCCTCTGCATCAAAGAGTGCCATGACCATACCGGCGGACCAGTTAGCGCAAAAGGGAAACCACGGATTCTTGGCCTTTTTATCCGGAGCCTTGGCAACATCGATTGGAACCGCGACAATGTCTCCCACACGCAAGGTCCAGACATCTGAGGGCACATTCGGTCGCAACGAAGGATCCCACTGTTGTGGATCCCACGGAACCTCTACTTGATAGTAATACTTGGTCGAGTATCCCTTTTTGAAAATGTGTCCCCCAAGGGGCTTGACCTTGGCACTTTTGGCGCTTTTGGAACTCTTGGCACTCTTGGAGCCACTATCATCCGAGATGGAGATGATGCTGGGATCCAGTGCTGCTCCCGAACGTGCCTTTTTTTGCTTTTGTGTCGTTTCATCCTGGGATTGTTTGGCGGTTCGTTTCTTGCCCGTTGCTGCTGCGGCCTTTTTGGCGGTGGCGGTTGCACTGTTCTTTCGGGTGGTAGATTGTTTGGCTTTGACGTCTTTTTTGGCTTTGGAAACATTCTTGGCCTGGGTGGGCTTTGCCTTGTTGGCCTTCTTGGCGGCTTCCTTCTTTGCTGGTTGGTTCTTTGCTGCTTGGTTCTTTGCCGCATCTGTCTTTTTTGTCTTTTTGGCAGTCGCCGCATTGGCTGTGGTTTTCGTCTTTTTGGACTGTGCCTTGGCATTTGTCTTGGCCCTGGAAGCGCGCGTGGACTTGGCCGGTGCTTGCTCTTCTTCTTCCTCCTGCATTTCTTCTTCCTCCTCCATTTCGGCTTCTTCCTCTCCTTCTACGTATTCCAGTTCCTTTTGAATGGTTTGTCTGTATTTCAGTTTTTCCTTGGCCGCTTCCTGGTAGGCTTTGGTCTGTTGTTCTAGGAACTGTGGATTGCTGTGATGAGTGAACTCTGGAGACTTCCAAAATCGTAGGAGGACCTTTGGAATTACTTCATTGTCATTTTTGGATGCTGTGAGAGACTCCCATTCCTCGGTCTTTTCAACAGCGTCTTGAAGCTTGTCGACAAATCTGTATTTGCAAAACAGTCGCAGCTGCGTCCAGTCGTCTGTCTCGTGGCGTATAAGCGCGTCCTGCAATTTAAGCTTTGGCAATTTTTGTTGCTGAAAACACTCTTCTTTTTTGGCGTCCACCAGCCACACCCACTTGTCCGGAATGATTCGTTCGGCCGACACACAGTTTTGTACGTCGTCCGATTCGATCAACAAGAATTTGTTCAAATTGATGTGCATAAGTTCTTTGACTTGATTCCGAAGCGCCTCCTTGTGCTTTGTCACATGATAATATCGATGCAACCACGCAATGCTCATCTCATACTTTTCCTCACTCTCCGCACTTTCTTGATAACTCCAGAGCGCCAGAATCAGACCCACTTTCCACGGATTCTCCAAAGGATACCACGGACGTGCCACCCTGTTGGGTGGCTCCGGAGGCATGGGAATCGAGTCGTCCGATTCGGGACAATCCAATACGACTACATCGCCGACATAGACTTGCCGGCCCTTGTGGTTGCTGCCGCGCAAATCCAACCCATGAAAGTACTGTCGTCTTCCAGAGCCAATCACTTCTTTATACAGAATGCTTGATGTAGGCAAAATCTCGTCAATTTTGGGGCGGCCGTCGCTCTCATCATCATCATCATTGACACTCATCTTGCTTATTGCTTTTCTTCTTTGGATTGTGTTGCACATTTCCGCGGCATGTTTCAAGGATAGAAAAATGTGCGCGCAAGCCATCTTGATTTCGTGCCAATGATAATAAAACCAGCAAGGCTATCAATACAGTACATACGTGTACCTTGGAAAAGATCCGGAAGTTGTCAAGTGGTGGTTGTCATTCGTGGATACCGTACAAAATCGAGGCTCCCCGCAAGATGTTAGGAACAAGGTGGAGGTGGAAGCGAAGACTGTGGCATCGGTTGCTGCAAGCATTGTGGCATCGGTCGTGTCACACTTCCCTGGACTGACCGGCGAGGCTAACCAGCTACTACCAAACCGTGCCGTACGATCTCAGCAGCAAGGGTGTTGCTTGACCTCATTAATCGAATTTCAGAACATCCAAAAAGAGACGAACAGACAACATACATACACGATGCCAACCACAATGATGATGAAACTCTTGGCCATGGCTAGTGCCCTCGCTCTTGCAGCGGGGAATACATGCTACGAGGAGGCTCCATTTGACTGCCCTGAGGATACTTATTGTACCAGTTGGAATGATGGGTGCAACGAGTGTGGGTGTGGATCCCCTGATGGAGCTGCCTTTTGTTCCATGATGATGTGCCCTTGTTACAATGACAACAGTTGTGTTCCTACGTGCAATGACAATGATCAGTGTGTTCCTAAAGCTACCGCCGTTGCTGAAGAAACCCCCGCTGTGGACAGCAAAGAAGGAGAAGCTGGAAACACATCATGCTACGAGGAGGCTCCCTTTGATTGCCCCGAAGATACCTATTGTACCAGTTGGTCCGATGGGTGCAATGAGTGTGGGTGTGGGTCTCCTGATGGGGCTGCCTTTTGCACTTTGATGACATGCCCTTGTTATGATGATAACAGTTGTGTCCCTACGTGCAATGACAATGACCAGTGTGTTCCGAAAGCTACCGGAACTGCTGCTGCTGCCGCCGTCGAAACGCCCGATGTGGACAATGATGAAGACGAAGAACCACTTCCCACACATCCATTTGATTGTGCCGCAGGATCCACCTGCACGGAATGGACCGATGGTTGCAACAACTGCCGCGCGGCTGGTGCCGACAATGCTTTAGCGGCATGTACCGAGAAGTACTGTCCTTGCTACGACGATGACAGCTGTGTGCCAGTGTGCTTTGACAATGCTCTTTGTGTGCCAGCCACTGTATTATTGAGCAGCAATGGCGTCGCCTCGTTCGTGGTTGACTGGCTTCCTGTCCTGCTTGTGCCCGCTGTAGCATTGGGTTTGTAGGGTTCATTGTTGAAGTATTTGTGTATTGAAAAAGTTGCATGAAGTACAATGAAAATGTGGTAGAATAACATAGCTTATCATAACTACAGCTTATCATAATCACCATTATCCTTGCAGTCCTTTCATCGTCTTTTCTAGCTTTTTCTGCTTCGCTGGATGCAATCACCTCAGCCTCTCAAACCTGTTTTCAACACCAGACCCCGACCTACCAGATCCCGCCTCTTCTGGCTCGAACTGAGCACGGCACATCCCTTGTACTCACACCAACAGAGTATAGAACCAGGGAAACCGCTGTCTTCTTGTGGCCAGTCGATTCGTGGGTACGTAAAAGGGTCACAGTAACCATCTTCTGCGAAACAGAATTCAATACAAATTGGGATGTGATTGCAGCGGCAGTGTGAAAAATGGGACGATGATCTTTAGAATTGTGCAACCATTGCACCGGTATTGTCAGGAGGTCAATTTTGCTGATTGGATGTTAAACTCCCCTTGAGCGCATCAATTGATTCCCTTCTACATTATTTTTCTGTGCTAGAATGCGTATTGTCAATTTTCTCTTTTTTCATTGCAGGGTGTGGGCGTTTGCAGACTGATTGCCCAAAAAAAAACTCTAGAGAACAACATCCGGAACCAGTTTTTGACTTGTTCCTGCAGCCACTCCCGTTTCCAACAGTACAGTACTATTTCTTTCCATCTCCCGTCTTTTTTCCAAAAGCAGCTTCCTTCAAACTACTGGCCAAGCCTCGAACAATTTTGTATTCTTCAAAGCTAATTTTTCCATCCCTGTTGGTATCCATGAGCTTGATGGCATTTGTAAAGAAGGATTCCGGTAAATAACCACCCGTTGCTTTGACCAAATCAGCCTTGTCGATAAAGCCACTATTGTTTACGTCAATCAGCATAAACTCCTTTTTGAGTTTGAGTTCTTGGGGACTTGGCTTTTTCGCTGGTTTTTTGTTGGGCTTCTTGCCCGGCTTGGCTCGATCTCTCGGTTCACCGTCATCGACATCATCATCATCAGTATCCTCTTGGTCTTCGTGTTGTTGTTCTTCTTCTTGCTGATCAGATGGTACTCCTGCGGTTGCTTCCGCTGTGGTGGCAGCCATGGTGCTTGTCCTTTACTTTGTTGTTGTGCTTCGTCTCGGCTCCTTTCCTGCCTCAATTCGACTCACTCGATTTACACTCGGAACATGCATTGAGACATCCATGATTGACACAGTGACCCAAAGCGCGATTAAACGGCAAAGGCCGCCCTCCCAATTTCGGTCATCGTCAGCTGACACCTACACACCTACCGTACCTTGTACGGTACGTACCTTGTGACTCCAAGCCGTGAAACCAGTTTCACAGCTGTGTTATTCAGGAAATAAATAATGACCCCAGAGCCTCATTTTTCATTTTTCTCCTTCGGCACAAATATCTTCTTGGCCAAGCCATCCCCTGGTAGCAACTCAGGTACAGTACAACAATAACAACGCTCAGACTGAGCCGCAGAGGAAGTAGATTCGATTCCGAAAGAAAAAGAGACGGAGCATTGAAGATGCTTCGTCGAATCGCATTCTCGTCCCTACTCTTCCTCTTCCTGCTGCAACTTCCCACTTTGCAGGCACAAGTCGACATGGATGATGCCTTGGACGGTGGTGGCGGGTTCGATGATGATGCTGATCTGGAAGCCCGTTGCATGGGGACGGATTGGGTCACGGCTGATGCCTCCTGCGAATATCCTACCTGGGTAGTGGACGGAGAATGCGATCAGCCAGTGTGCGCCGATTGTTTCGACTGCGACCCGTGTCGCGAATACAGCTACACCAGCTGCGATGATTGCACCGCGGAAGGGTGCTTTTGGTGTCCCGGTGATGCTCTGTGTTCCAGTCAGACGCCCGATCAAACTTACTTTGATCTATACAACAAGATTACTTCCTGTCCCGCACAAACGGATTGGCAAAACACCTGCTCCACCAGCCAGAACCAGTCCGATACCAATGTATTCAATGATCCACTATATGATGCTTGGAAACAAATCTATCAACTTGTCAATGTCGAGGAAGTGTGGAAACGAGGGATCACTGGAGCTGGAATTCATGTTCGTGGTACGTGCTTACCCCTGCTGCTGCATGCATGCACCCTCTCTTGCACACGTTGTGCCTTGCATCCAATAATTTTACATCCCTCACACGCTCTGTGATCATATGGCTTCCTTCGACAATCCTTACATTTTCGTTTTTGAAAACTAGTCAACGACGATGGAGTGGACGCAACCCACGCAGAGTAAGTTCATGGATCCAGCAGGCAATAGGCAAACAAAGAGGCTATTTAGTTTTGCTCAATTCTCGGTATACTCCCAACAGATTCTCCGAACGATTTGATGTGACCAACTCGTGTGATAGATACCTTCCAGAAGATGTCGACCCGATGGATGGAAAACCAGATGAACATGGCACGACCTGTGCCAGTATCATTGGCGCTCAAGCCGACAACAATCAATGTGCTTCAGGCATTGCTCCTGGAGTCACAATGTCTTCCTGCGTTTTAGATACTGACATTTCGGATGAAGATGAAGCTGATTTAATCCTTACCAAAATGGATGTGGTGGATATTTCATCCAACAGCTATGGACCTAACAGCTGTGTCAACGTCTTCGATGACGATGATGACGGCAACCAGGATGACGACGGCGATGACGACGACGACGATGACGATGGTAACCAAGATGATGACCGCCGCCGACGCAAACACAACCGCCGACATCTCTACACGCACCGTCGATTGCAAATCTGTCCCTTCACCGGGGTCCATCCCAACAATCCGTGTACTGCAAGTGCAGATTGTGCCAATGGAAATCTCATGGCAGAAGCTTGCGAAACAGCAATTATCGATTATTGCTCGGTCCACTACGAGTTGGATAACCTTGCCTGTGCTGAGTACCTTGACCTGTACACGGATTGTGAATATCATGTCTTGCCCCCGGAATTAGACACTGCCTACACTGAAGCTGTGCTCAATGGTCGCAATGGTCTCGGAACCATCATTGGTAAGGTCCCTGGTTCGTAAGATGTCGTTTCGCAATGACATCGTGTCCTGTTGGGATTTTACAGCAATCTTCTGCCTCACTTTTGACCTCCCATCCTCTCCTTTGGTCCCAGTGTTTGCGGCGGGAAATGAACAAACTGTTGGGGCAGATGTCAATGGCATTGGATATCACAACAGCCGACTTACAATAACCGTTGGTGCTACCGGGAAACGAGGTATTCACACTTCCTACTCCAACACTGGCGCCGCCGTACTGGTTACCGCACCAGGTAAGATTTGTTGGTTCGTTTTTTGTCTAAAAGGAGATTTGGTTGACGCGTTCTAAACCATGTTCACGCTTACAGGCGGTGACGAGGAGTACATCACGAACACCGTTGTGGCCAAGCCGGATGGGGATCTCTCTCTT